CAGAGTGTTGTTCAGCATGGGGGTGAGTAGAAAATGAAGGCTAATCATGTTTTGGGTGTACTATTCCTTTAAGGACTCTCAAATTCTTCATTGTTTGTATATGGTCCCTTTTACAGAATAACAATGACAAAGACACAGGTCTCTGCTTTATGTTCGGCATACAGAGAGTATTGAACATTTTTATCTTATAGAATATAAAAAGTAGTACCTGAACAACTGACTTGATGGTATATACATACAACAGGACTATTAAGACAAGAAGCAACCATCCTAAATGCAGAAGTCTAGCATGGTTGTGTTACGCCAACTTTCCGACTTGGAATTCTTTGCTATTCAGAAGATTTTCTGAATAGCAAAGAATAGAGCTGGTTCTACAAGAGTTGAAACAGCAGCTAGTCAGACTTGAAGCAAGGCTCTCTCCTTTTCTGCTGTTATCTGGTCCTGGTTAAGTTTACTGATCTTAGAAGTGCATCAGGCTCCTCTTTCATTTGTTAATAAATTCAAAACTGGGCTGTACAATAATTTTTTATCTGCTTCTAATGAACCAAGAAAAAATGATAAACATTTAGGTTTAATTTTATCTTAACAGGATTTGAATGCAATATCTTCCCTTCTGCTTCTAAACTAGTGACAGTAGAGTTTCTGTTCTTTTAAGTCCATTTAAATCCTTTACCTGGTAGATTGGTGGGCTAAGCCCCTAACAGTTTAGGCAGAGTCATCTATTCTTTTGAATCCAACAGGTCTGAATAAGATTGCTGGACCTTGGAGCATAGATTGTGATTCCAATGCACATGGCTCTTTAGAAAACAAAAGGACTCTAGTAACTGTTAGGCTTTTATCTAGTTTAATTTAATCTAGGTTTGACTGCTTATTTCTTATATACTGTTTCTTTATTCCAGCTAATATTAGGCAGAATAAAAGTTCTTATAATTTTTTGCTTCATGTTAGTTTTAGTTCAATGAGTAGACAGTGGTGCATAAATAGTAGAACTTTTAATTCCAGATATTATTGATTATAAGCTCTCCTCAGTTTTTTCACTAAATATTTTTTTCTGAGTGGTTTTAACATCCTTAAATCGAAGCATTGCATCTAACTCCTTTACTTTTATTTTAGTGTAATTTACATATTCCACTCTAGGCAAATTTACTCTTCAAAGTAATTTTGAAAGGATAAAAGACAGAATATTGCCTTTTATAAAATATTCTAAATATAAAATAAACTAAATATGGATTTAGTTTGAACTATAACTTAGGGCAGCTTGTTGATAAAAATTTTAATTAAAGAATCACATTGAATTTCAAAATAACTGGAAGGCAATGCATCTGCAGCTTTTACCTCGTATTTCTGTTATCCTGTCAACAACATCATCTGGTATTTTGTCAGCAGCAGAGGGCCTGGAGGTTATCCACACTTTGGCTTCTGGAAGCAGATTTCCTTTGATGAGGTTTACAAGTAGGACGTCCAATGATGTTGGTTCTCTGACATCATTCAAGATTTCACTGTTATCAAAATCTAAAGAGTGTTGATATGCATCAAGTCCATCTAAAAGAAATACAATTCTTAACTGAGAATAGTCTGAGATAATGATATTCTTGGTTTCCTCAAAGAAATGGTTGAGAAGTTCAATCAAACTGATTTTTTTCTCTTTTACAAAGTTGAGCTCTGAGAACTTAAGAGGAAATAAAAATTCAACTTTTTTCTCCGCAGAAGAGGCCTTTGTAAACCAAGAGAAAATTGACCAGGTCTTGTTATTATTTTCAGCCCACTCTTTTGTAAATTTTTGCATATGAAAAGATTTTCCTATTCCAGCTTCTCCAATAGTTAGCACCGTTCTTATTGTTTTCCCTTTTTTTTCTTTGAAGATCTCTTTCAATTTTACTGGCTTTTTCTGTTTACTTTCCTCTTCTTTAGCGCCACTTTTTTCTCTGATGATATGCTCTGTTGTTTTCTGGTTAGGATGGTTTTCCTCTTTATCAAAAGATATTTCCTCGAGAAATCTTTTTTTCATCTTTGACAGTAACTCTTCCAGTTCCCCGTTGGTTTCTAAGACAGATGATAGTAATAATGTGAAGATTTAAATACATACAGTATATGCAACTCTTTAATACAGACAATAAATATTCCTACTTTGTAAAGTAGCCTAATTTGAAACTGATTAAAAAAGCAAAGTATAACAAACCAGGGAATTAAAAAATATAATTTGAAGTTAACATTTCTTTTTTATATCTGATAAAACGGTGAATACCGTAAATTCTCTAATATTGGCCTGTATTCCAATAGCGGCCGGGTCTCTAATAATGGCCGGTCTCGCTGTCAGAGGAGGTAAATAATGGCCGGTCTCTAATACAGGCCGGGGCTATAAACGTTTTTTTGGGGCATACCTCAACATTATACTTGTGGTAATAAGTAACATACTAGTACCACA